TGAAACAAACAAATCAATCTGAGGACAGGCATGAGGTAAAAGAGTTGTGATAGATTTACCTGTACAACTTTACCTTCTCATGACTACCATACATACTGAAACATAGAGTAATATATATAATACTCTATGTTTAAGTTTTAGGATCATGTATACGTGAAATCGAAATAAGAAAAGTTTTTCTAGGGTTATAAGTTTTACTGCATAGGGCCGTAACAACACCTCACCAACGGAAAGTTGTTGTTGCAGTTACTTGTAGCAGGTTGGTTTTTACCCCGCGACCAACCCTCCTCCTTTCTCATCCTGGCAAAGGCGGAGGTTGGCATGTTTGGTGTGACGGGGATTCGAACCCGCAACCCTCAGTTTACGAGTCGAGTGCCCTAACCACCGGGCCTTTAGGTTTTACGGTAGGAATTGATAAACTTGATACTTCCTGGGTCACACGTATGGAGTGGTGATGATATTTATCCGTCACGTCTTTGTCCTAATCCGGTCGAGAGGCAGTAAGATTCTAGGGTTTCTGAACTTATTGGTCAAGCTATGAACATGTAGCTTTGATGGCCACTTCTATGTTTGTTGTTTAACACTTTTTGTTTTGATCTTCGTTACTGAAATGACGATATTTACATATTCTCTCGTGTGGTCCTGTACCAGCTGGTCAATATGTGCATATTCAAACTTGTTATATATTTCGACATGGTTCAATTCAGTTTTAGATCAACTTTATTTCAGTTATAATTTCATTCAATATTATACAGTTTACTGCTTTTATTTTACTGGTTTATTGTTCTCACTTTATGCCATAAGGGTTATAAATCCAGTTATTGTGACTATCTGTGGCTAAGTCCATCTTATTCGAGATTTCGCACTATAAAAGTAAGAACAATTTTTATACTACATTAGTTGGATTTGACAAAATTTCGATGCTACGTACATTCGCTTTTAAGGTATGTGGTTTTAGTTATATTAATTCAAATACTTAATTGGGTTTAACTGTATTTGTGGTTATGTTTTGTTAAGTTTTGGGGAATTTTAGTGTTACGTTAGTTGGGTTTGACATTAATTCAGTTATTTAATTGGGTTTAACAGTATTTCTGGGATATGTTAGTTACGTCAGTAATATGCTAGTGTTTCATCTATGTTAATTAGGTTTTTAGTACTGTTTTAATGATAAATGTATTATGTTAGAAAGTATTTCAGTGTTCTGTAAGTTTTTGTTTTGCCATTGCTTTTGTGTTATGCCAGTTATATTTCACGAAGTTATTGCAGTATTTTGCTTATGTTTGACGGTATTTCAGTGTTATATTAATTGAGTTTTTGCCAGCATTTTAGTTCTATGCCAGTTAGATTTTAACACGATTATTTCATTTAGTTAGATTTAACGGTGTCATTGTGTTATATGAATTAGTTTTAATAGTATTTCAATGTTATATTAGTTAGGTTTCAGGGTATTAACGCATCACTTTAGTTACATTTGATGGAAATTCCTGCTATGTTTGCTAGTCTTAATGCTTTTTTTTTCTCTTTTAAAAGATATTTTAGAAGTAATGTCTATTAAATACTGGTTTAAGACGTGCGACGATGTGGAATGTGAAGGGAACCAATGTGCAGAGTCGATGCTCAAAGATCGTTCTGAACTGGTCGCTAAGATAATGAACGTCCTTTTACGCAGGATAATAAAAGATAAGGGTTTGCAGTCTATTGCTGCATTATGTGATATATATAAATCTCGTGTCTTGAATAGAAGAACAGCGATCGTTTCCCTGACAGCAGAAGATTTTAATTCAACTGAGGTGCTCAGCAAGTAAATGTAATGACTGTACAGCACACACACCAAGGTACTAGTGCCAGTAAGATATTTTAAATATCCAGTAAAATATTCTAAACGAATAGCTTTTTCCCAGTGGATAAACGTCGTACTTACATACGTCATTTACGACTGTTGCACTTGCATGGGAACAGTAGATACTGTTGTTATCTTTCATATTAGATTGGTCCTAAAAAAAATAATATATTTTAAATTAATAATGGTTGGAGACGGCTTTAATGGGTAATGAAGAAAAACTTTAATATAAGTTTAACAGCAAATGTACAACGTATATTAAAGTTTTTCTTCATTACCCATTCAAGCCGTCTCCAACCATAGTCTCAAAATGGGTTCCTCGTCATCGATTTTGAATATTTTAAATTACTTGAATTTCAAATCTCACTTCTCCATTTGACCCATAAAATATGCTAACAAACTTATTTTGAGAAAATGTGCTTAAAATACTGTGTTGTCGGTGAAAAACTGAATCTATATTTGAATCTGAAAAACTTATTAATTACTGGAAGACCCACAATCTTTAGATGATATTAATATAGTTTAACCATCGAATGATAATTTTGAGCTCTGTAGAAGTGTGTTGTTAGTTCTGGAGGTTATATGTTTATGTGCTTTTAATTGCCTTCTTTTGTTTATGTTTTGATTGATTCGAGACAGTTTCTATCCCTTATATGCTAAAATTAAGGACTCCATGAAATTAAATACACACTTACTTGCGTGATGCAGTTTATAAAACTTAGGTAACAAAAGATGCCTTGAAAGTTAAAACCTAAGTAAATACCTTTGTCAAAACCATGGATTTAGTTAATATGAGATATCTGAGAATTGTTATTAACGTCATCCCTATTTTTAGAAAAAAAAAGCCCCCCAGTGGCACAGCGGTATGTATGTGGACTTACAACGCTAGAAACCGGGCTTCCATACCCGTTGTGGGCAGAGCACAGATAGCCCAATGTATAACTTTGTGCTTAACTAAAAACAAACAATACAAGAAAAGTACATTATCAATCATAATCCATTAAATCTGAATTCTAGCATCAAAAATAAACACGTATCATAATTAGTATTCAAAACTCTATAAAAAATTACTTAAGGTAAACGTACGCTACTTTCAAAAGTTCAAACTTGCAAGTTGCTAATAATGTGGCTTTTGAGTCGTTTTGCCATTGATCACAGTGAACATATATCTAACTAAATATCTTCAAAATATGGCATTAATTTATTCTTTTATTCAAGAGCTGTTGAAGATAATTTAATCTTCCTTTCTCATCATCAATATTGTAAGTTTGGGAGAGGAAGAAACGTAATGCCCAATCTATTACTTGATTTGTTCCATGCAATCAAGTTAAACCTGTTTTAGGAGGTTCTAAGCTAGCTGATGAGCAATGAAACAAATAGATTTTCTTAAATAGCGAGGGAGTAAATTGATAGCATTAATACTACATATTCTTCAAATGTCAATATAGATATAGGCTCACTGTGGTGAATAAAATACTGCTCAAACTGCATAGTTATAATTTAAAGGCTATAGTATAAGATAATTTAATCTTGACTTTTAGTTCCCTATTTAGTGATTACTTGATAAGTATGATAAGCAGCTGATATATTTCAGTAACGCACTTCTTTCTCACCGAAATTATTTAGAATTTTGGAGATTAAGAAAATAAAATTTGTAGAAGTACTTAATAAAAGGAAAAAACGTTTATTTACATTTCTGTTTTATAATCAATAAGTTAAATATTCACAAAGAGAAAGTTTAAAAACCCTAATTTACGCAAGAAATGTTTAAAGTTTCGAAAATAATTGTTTGTTTTGACGTGTTTGCAAATGAACTCAGTTCAAGATTATCCGCATCTAAAGTCCTTGATTTCAATTAGAAAATCAATAGAGAGATTTGGAGAATATTGTACAGTAAAATAAAGACTAACTATAACGGTCGAGGTGGTATAACCTAAAAAATAAAGAGTTGAAATGACTAAACTAAAAACAAGTGAAACTAAATACAGAAATGAAACAGGAGTAAACAGTAAACTAGGAATATAGACGTAAAAAATATTGGACAACAGAGAAGTTAGAATTGGTAAAAAAATATTAAAGAGGTATATATGAACAAAACAATAAGCGCAAAGTGAGACAAGAAGATAAAAATTATAATTACGTGTATCAAAAATATTAGCGCACAAGAGATAGTTTGTAGCTTATTTTATCATAAGGAGGAGAAAAAACGAAGCGTATACTGGAAAATCAAAGGAGAAATGAGAATATAAATTCCGAGAATAATGAATTGACCAATGAATAAGCAAAGAGAAGCAGAGAAATTTGAATAGACCAATGGAAGATAACAAATAGTAAGACAATGTTTAGAATATCAAAAATGTGCCAGAGAAAGGCTGAGTTAAAAGACGAATGTCGAGAAAGAAGAGCAGTATTAAAAAATAATAAGAAAAACTGAATCCAGAAAACAATATGATATTACATGATAAATACATAATAGAGTAAAAATAATAAGTAATTAAGAGGAAAATAAAGCGGGAAGTTTGGGAGTTTAGAAAATACGCGTAGAAAAAAATATTTGTGAATATAAAACAACACCCTTCCAGTAGCTCAGCGAAACGTTTGCGGGTTTACGACGCTAAAAGTTGGGTTCAATACCCGTGGAGAGCAGAACACAGATAGCTTATGGTGTAGCTTTGTGCTTAACAGTAACCAAGCCAACAGAAGTGAGAAAAGAATGTTTTTTTCTTTGTTTTTTTAAATCCATTATTTACATGTTTTATACATGAAAATTTCTCTACATTTTCAATATTAGGGACTGCAACTTTTTTGAAAGCTCATATCTTAATATGACTTCCCTACTGGTCAATAGCCAAAGTTTAGCTTCACGTTTGAGGAGACAACGGATGCTACGTTTACTGCCAACCCGTCATCAAATGATTTTTGAAGTCTAACTCAGTAAAAGCATAGCAAAGAAACCAACCAAACCTAACATATGGACATACATGGTGTATTGATAAAACAAGACTTGCTTCATAATTTTGAGCGCGTGCCTCTGTTTCCTTAAAATTCATTGGTTGGGAGAATGATGCGTCAACTGAGATGGCGCGTGCTTTTGTGATCGAAACAGGAAATCAGTTCTTACGGCACGAGTCGTCAGTTTAACAGAACAAGAGAAGGAGGGAGCACGTATTTGTTTTATTAGCAAAACCTTTTCAAGCTCAAGCATTATTAAAGGGGGAGAAGGTAAGCCTTTCTTGAATTAAATTTAAAAATGTTGTTTCAGGCTGATTTAACTGGAGGGTGTGATTCGTTGGGAAAAGTATATATATATTTACACGTTCATTATGTATTTATTTGCGTGCATTTAAGGAATACTTGAATAACTTATTATATTAGCTTTCAAACATTACTTGTATTGATCAAAATATGCATTATTTCTGAGCAAATTCGTTGTAATTAATAAATGTTTCGTCTGCTGCTAACATCGTATTTTACTCGAGCTATCACTCCTCTTGTTGTTGATCTTTTGGGGAATTCTTCAGTACTATTTGTTTTAACATGTTAAAGGATTATCCTTACCACCTACAACTGAGGATTTACGGAAGAAAAATAATCAGTTACTGTTGTTAATCTGATAGGAGAGAAGGAGAAATAATTTTTGAGTTTTAGTTTCTATTTTAGGATATTCTGTCTCCTTTAGAATATTGTATTTTACAATAACTGAGTGTTTGTTAATAGTCCATTTTTGTCTCTTTAGAAGACCACATTTTCAAGAACCACAAGTTATACCATTCAACGTGTTCATAAACTAGCATTGCTTTTAAATGTTTAGAAATTAAAAGAAAATATTCCCTTGTCCTCCTGGTCCAAATCCTTAAAAAGAAATTCAGAGTTTGCTATCGATCATATAAATGCCTAAAAGCGGGATTTTCAGAGCTGAACACAGCGGAATAATTTTAAGAATAATCTAATAAAAACTTTCACAATATGTATCCCTATATATATATATATATATATCATTGTCATAGTTTGTGAAAAGAAATATTGTATATAAAAAATAAGGAAGAATTTTACTCCTATGAATAACAGTAATATCGTAATAACGTTGAGAAAGGGAGACCCGCTGGCCTTAAAATATTCATGAAATAGAAAGAAGTGTTATCCTAAAAACCTTACATAAAAAGCAGAATATTATAATCCCAATATGTTTATAAGATTGAGGGCGTTATTATTCTAGACATTCTTATGAGCAAAAAAAAAGGATTTATCGTGAAAACTTTTGTTTTGAATCAGAAGAAAAAAAACTCATTTCTGAAAGTTTACTGAAGTTGAAAGAAGTTTTGAATAGGGTATAAAGAGGAATACCTAACAGGAAAGGAAGAAGCAGTTTATAGGTTACACTCGCAAAGTTACTGTACATTGTGAATAATTACAGTAAAGACTCCTGAGAGTTCTGAGTCACAATGAATTTCTAGTAAGAAGCTCCAGTGATTCTTCTAACAGTTTGAAATAGTTTAGTCTTTGCTCCAGTTTTTCGAGATTTATGTACATTGTTTTTATTCCAAAACTCCAACATTATAAAAATTGATGAAATATTTTATTATCTAGCTCAATAAATCGCGTATTCCAAATTGATTACAAAAATTAAACCAACTACAATTTGTACATATTTCTCTTTTTTTTTTTACGAGTGGAGCCACGTTTATTAACTCTCGTCCAACTTATTTCCATTTCCTTGCAACATTTCATGAAGATCCCCTTTTCTATTCATTGTATGATTAACTCTTTCAACTGGTATTTCTGGAGCTTATTTTCTGTTATAATTATGTCACATGCAACAATATGCCTTTTTATTGTTCGTCTGAAGAAATACACACCGAAACATAAAAGCTAATGGACAAATAAAATGCCTCAGACAATCGTACTCGCGATATTTCAACTGCTGTCTCCAATTTTAATGGCTCGTTACGTACCTGAGGATTTAACTAAATTACCTTTTAACATAATGATAATTACAGATATATTAACTGCTATTCGGGAAGACTTCCCTAGGGAATTTCTACCGACATCAGAAGCATGTTAGTACAAGTCCAGAAAGACAATTCGTACCCTAAACATTTAAAATTTACAGTTTTGTGCATTAACAAATTTCCTCAGTCCAGCCGATAAAACTGTATACTGTTGTTCTGTTGTGTGTCCCTTTGTGAATTACATTCATGACCTTAAGCTTGTTTTGGCAAATTTATCTGTTTTTTTAATAAGATATAAGAAGAGGGATAGTTGGCCTTTTCTGTGAAATGTTAAATGTAAATATCTGTAACATTTTACTTGACTAAATTATTTTCCACCAAAAAAATCGTAAATCAATGTTTGTGTAAGATTTTCGTAAGCAGTAGATGGAATATTGACGTCCACACGATTTCTCCTTTCAGGGACGAGTACGTACAAGAAGCTTTTCGTCTACTGAGTAAAAATAGTGAATACATTGTAGAATGTACTGCACCAGATTTATATCAGTAGCACCAGCGCTTTTAAATGTTTAGCCGTAGTCTTATACAGGTTACCTAACAACCATCACTTAGCAACTGTTGAGAAACATAAATAAATGTTTATATACGTGATGCCGTTCTAAATTAAAGTGATGAATTGTTTTGTTTTGAATTTCGCGCAAAGCTACACGAGGGCTATCTGCGCTAGCCGTCCCTAATTTAACAGTGGTAGACCAGAGAGAAGGTAGTTCGTCAACACCACCCACCGCCAACTCTTGGGCTACTCTTTTACCAACGAATAATGGGATTGGCCGTCACATTATGACGCCTCCATGGCTAAAATGGCGAGCACGTTCAGTGATGGGGATTCGAACCCACGACCCTCACATTGTGAGTCGAGCGCCTTAACCATAAAGTGATGAAGGACAGTATAAATGTACAGTGGCGTGGAAGTTAACCCTAAACTGGTAGTAGTTTTAGAGTCACTATGAGAGTGCTTTACTAGCAATCGCTAGTAGGTTAACACTTTTACTCAATTTGTAGAGCACTTATCTGTAGTACGATCTGTAGTAATTACGCTCGTAGAAGATGCAAAAAATATTACAATCCTAAAATAAATATGTGCCTTGATTGTGAGAGGGGAAGAATGTGGTAGCTTAAGTTGTTGAAAAGTGTCTTAGTTGGAGTTTCTTGTAAGGTAACGCTTTAGCTCATTCGTTTAGCATGCGATAAGTCTCGGATTAGACTTTGAACGATGAAATACAAAGAAAAAAAAACTTAGAAAACCACACACACGAGTTGTAAACAAGTGTTGCTTAGCAGCTTGTGTAAATATTTGCATGTTGTTTTATAAGTGATATTGTTCTGTGGCAAATTGATGAAGGAGAATATAAACAATCGATTGCATAGGTTAACTTTAAACCGTAGTCTTACGTGGGCTGCTAGACAACTATTATTTAGCGCTCGGTTAATAAAATATTTATATATTTTTACAGGAGTAGTTTTATTCTGTGGTGAAGTTATGAAGACAAATATTTGTAGGTTAGCTTTAAGGTGTTTAAGGAAATCGATTTTTATTTATTTATCACATTTTAGTTTGTTTGTTTTTTAGCGTAATTTAATTAGTGAAGAGATCTGCAGATCTTTTTCTTGTTCAGTGATCAGTTTACTTTTAGTAAATGAAACTTCACTAGGTGAATCAGATCCCTCACGTCCATCGTTGTCCCTCAACGAGGAATCATCAGTAGGACAGTTATTCACAAAATCCTCGTCGGATCCGAAAAATGTCTGAGACAAATCTATAATATCGTCCTCTGAATCCATGTCTATCATTTGTTTTTGGCTTAATTTCTTAGCCTGAGCTCGAGTCACAGTACACGAAGGAAACACATAGATATTCTCCTCAACGACAACATCACCTCAGATGAAACAGTGATCGGCTTGTTAACCATTTTAGGTTCGGCACCAACTTTTCCCCCAACCAAATCGTTTCCCAACAATAATGATACGCCATTAATTAGTACAATAGGTCTTACTCCAACCACAACTGGTCCCGAAACTAGGTCTGACGCTAAATAAATGTTATGAAGAGGAACATTAACAAAGCTACCCTCAATACTTTGAGCAATAACAGACTCACCAGTGGCAGAACTCGAATCTAAAGGCAATACACCTTCTAACAACAATGATTGAGTCGTCCCAGTATCACGTAGAATACGTATGGGTATAGGATTGCTAGTGTTATTTGTCAAAGACACAGAACCAACAGACACAAAAGGTTTAAATTCCTCTCTGATTACATCAGCCTTTATATCAGTGGCCAAGTCAACAACATCGGGCGATCTGATGAAACTATGTTCATATGTGGACACAAACGCACTGGGTGTTGCCTCCTTTTCTTTTTTCTTTTTCAAACACCAACAATCGGACATAACTTGACCAGGTTTTTTACAAAAATGGCAGATATGCTTTGATTGTTTTAAAGTTTT